GCCTACGGGCTGGCGTTTTTAAGCAGGTACTGGAAACGGTGTTCGTTCATCTACAGGGGGATTGATGTATTGACCGACGGGCTTTCAATCTACAGTGCGCAGCAAAAGATGTGGGCCACCAACCTTTGACTCTGCAAGAATACTTTCGGTTTTGGCGAAATGTGAGAACTTCACTATTCGGTTCATCGGATGCGGAGGCCATAGTATACTTTACTTTGTTGCATCTGTGTGCGGCTTCACATTTTTTTTGGAAAAGTTTCTTTGTACCAAAATTATGTGGACACTAAGGAAAAATGAAAATATCTTTGAGATGAGAGTCTGGCAGCTAGCTCCTTCACGATTTTATACTAGTTTGTTCATTGTATCCGCAGGCTCCTTAACAAGGTTCCTCATGGTTGTCTCGTGTATAGCATCGCAAGCAGCAAATGTTGTCACCTTGAGGTGGTGAACCGCATTGCACTGGCGGTGTTGTGAAAGATACGCTGAGCAGTGATGTACTGCCGTTTTCAACATGATAACAGCCACTAGAACTATATGACAAATTCTGCCATACCAATACCGTTGTGCAAGAACCCTTTTTTGCTGGAAACGAGACAACTGCTGCCGCGTTCTGCTGCTGTAGAACATGTTCCTGCATTGCCCATTTCTCAAAAAGAGCCAACTGTGGAAATCAGCCACTTATCCATATTCCCGACCTTCTATGCTGCATCTTGGAAGGAGGCTCCATTTTTCGCTCTTTTCAATGCTCTAGCAAATAACTAACCACATGTACATCCCCTCCAAAGTTGCTTTCCGAGGACATCAGGAGCTGCCTACGAATACCACTCCAAAGCCGCGAAATATCCATATCCGGAGCGTTGGTACCGAACTTTTTCCATCCAGGAAGATTATCTATCTAGAAAACCCTCATGGAAACCTTTTTAACATGGCAGTTTCTCCCCACATCCCACCTTATGTGATGATGTAGCAGTAATTCCATGGACAAACTCTAATCTTGCCATTTCGCCCTGAGCACTTAATTTGGAAGCATTCCTCACGTTAGTTTATGGAGCACAGTCATTTGACCGGAGAGAGACCAAACGGTACTTCTTGGATCCAGCAAACTTTTTGAAGCGTTTCCACGGACAATACACCAATAATTACCTGAGATACTCAGGCTATTCTTCTTTTATTCTAGGCAAATAGAGAGTCTGGATAGTTCTCCACTGTTACCATTAAAAAAGCCAGGGGATCACGGCTCAGCGTGTCTTTTACAACAGCCGGCAGTGCAATGCGGTTCATCACCTCAAGGCGGCAATATTTGCTGCTTGCGACGCTATACACAAAGACAACCATGAGAAACCTCATTCAGGAGCATGCCGAATAAAATGATCAAACTGGTTCAAAATCATATAAGAGCTACCAGACGTTCCTCAAAGATATTTTTATTTTTCGTAAGTGTCCACATAGTTTTGGTACAAAAAAGTTTCCAATAATAAAAAAATATGAAGTCGCTCATAAGATGCTGCAAAGTGAAGTATACTAAGAATTCCTACGTGAGGAATCGATTGGTGGAAGTTCTATTTCGTCAAAACCAAAGATGATCTTGTTGAGTCAGAATTTGGGGTGTCCACATATTTTCGTTACGCACTGTATAACTACAGATCTATTCATAGTATGGTTGTTACGATCCAAATACAGCGCCTCCTACAAATATAACCGTGGACTCAGGAGTGCAGAATCCGCTAAGTTGCTCTATCTACTAAAATTTGATCGAGTCAGCGCAGTATGAGCAGCCCAGCGAATGAGCGAGTTCCATTCGCATAATGAAGAGCCCTGGCAAAGCCAGCCCAGCCCTGCTAAGCAAGGCTAACGATAAGGAGGAGAGCTCGGCGTTAACCGAGCGATCCGACCACTTTCTAATAAGTTGTGAGCTCTTTCAGAAGTGACATAAGTACTGGGTAGTAGCAGTTGACCGTTAACAAGAGGAAACCGGGTGGGATTGGTAGTATCCAATGAAACAGAAGTAACTCCAAGCAGTAAGCGTGGGTGCAGATTCCCTGTGAAAGACAATTCCATAGAACCCACTGTGCAGTGAGCGCAGTAGTGCGCATCAGCCGAACTGGATCTGTGATAATGACAGGTCTGTTGGGTAGGAATGGTGAAAGCAAGTGAGCGCCAAAAACAAGGTGGATAGAAAGAGACGCAGCGACTACTCAGCCTCCAAAGATAATTTAGAAAATCTGCCATCATGAGGGCCCACTACGTCGAGGTCACATTCAACAACTCACTGACCCTTTTTCCCTAACTAAAGTTCAATTGGTAACAACTTCTGAATGTCTACGGCTTTTCGCTGCAGATCATAGCGACCACCTGCTTCTCTCGATTTCGCGTTATGGTCATCCACTGATGTCCAATCAAAGCTAGGCTGCTAGGTTGCTAGCTTTCCAGGTCTGTTGGAGGAGAACGGGGAGTCGGGTGGGCTCAGGAAATGGAAGGAATGCTTCTTCCATTTGTTCACAGAATATGGCATTTGTTTTCATGACTTGTCTTCGAACTTGCCAGGGGTAGAACTTTCTGTAACGATTTGCATGAAGTGAAGCGCATTACAGTATACATGACTACAGCTTTCAATTGCTATTCTTATTTTAGAGGAAGAAAAAGAAGAACAGAAAGAAGAAGCGAGAGATTCCAAGGGAAAAGATGGTTCCTGGACAAACAGTGACGAGCGACTCTTTCAAGTAAGTCAGATATCCTTCTATAGCACCGTTACATCTCTCTACTCACTACCAATTCCGCGCAATACTCTTTTCAGGTGGAGAGTGATAAAGCTCTTGGGCTCAGGAGGCTTTGGTGACGTTTATAAAGTGGTGAAAGAAGATGACGCCGATAAAAAAGTAAGCTTTCATCAAAATCACCCAAAACAGTGTTGTAACAATTCTTATAAAATTGTTATTAGTGAGAGGGTTAAGTCTTCTCTTCACAATTGCAAGACTAGATTTCGGTAATGTCTCAAGGTGGCTAGCTCCACATATGAATTTGCAGGTGCTAGCTAACTGACTTACTGCAAAGAATATAGTAAAAAAGCGGCGCTAACGATGGCAACACCACTGCTAATCAGAACACGTCATCACTTTTGTTGGAATTTCTGCTGAATACGACCTTCACCTGAGAGAGGGTTTCAGGAGCTATACCTACCCGAAGATCATGAAATGATCTCGAATCGAGTACAGTGAATTGTGAGCGTTCTGCATCCAGGCTAGTTCTAGAGTTATAGAAGGCTCCGATTACCACCTTTTTGCGATATCCATAGGCTTTTTTGAAAGTGGTGAGCTTCGCGAGAGGAAGAGCAGTGTTGTGATTGTTTAGGGTTCGTATAGAGTGTTCGGTCAAGCGATTGCCAAACAGCCTATCTTTTTAGGGAATCTTCGTTGTGAGGACCTTGTTGAATTCTAGGATCACCCACGAAAATTTCATGTTTCAAGCAACCATAACTTTCAGCGCCGAAGTCTAGAGGACCTCCAATTCTAGAAGAGCATCTCACTTATTCCTTAGACCCGCTATTTGATGTAAATTTCTTGTTGAATTTTTGCAATGACAGTTTCGGGCGTCACAAATAGCCTCCCTCCGCCGCAATAGCGTTTCCAGTTTGGTTGGAGGCTTCGGTATGCTTGACACATATTTTCGTCAATCGTCAAAGCTCTCAGGAAATAATTCAACCGGCGCTGACTGGCATCATTATTGCGTCATGCATCTGATTCCCACGCAGCGGTCTCAAAAAGATTCTCAAAGTTAAGGGTTTTCCCTGTGAACAAATGTACTCCTACGATGAGGAACGTTCGTTTTTTTACTGATTCATGGGGTCGTTCTGGGCGGCCCCTACTTCTTGTCGACGGCCGTTTTCCTAGCTTGCAGTTGCCTCCAATCAGATGATTTTCACGCGTACTTACAGCGAGAAATTGAGCAATCTTTCCACCGATCAGTGATTGCTGATTGATTGATGTTCGTTGTTTTCTTTTCACAACGATGACGTGCCCTGCGCGACCCACCGCCTTTTGTAGAGGGTAAAAATTCCACGCTCAAGCCATCTTGGTCTGTTTTAAAGGCAGTTGGCACGATAAATTCCCCAAGATGAGTAGTATCAATACGCCTGGCATGTCGGAATTCCGCGACCCAGAGGAGGCGCTGCGTAGCGCCTTCCCTTCAAAAGAGCCCTATCAAGCTACAACATACCGATCAGAAGGCCCACCACGCCCGCCCGCCCACAAATGGACGACCGTTCCTGACGCTCGTATTGATTCATTTGCTAAGCAAATTATGAAGCGAAGGGATTGGTATGAAGCGGCCGTGATGCTGCATGGATATATGAGTACATACATGCAGCCGTATCTCATAGCGGTCATTGGCAAGATGCCTTCGGGAAACTCGTCCGAAATTGATTTTGATGAACGAAGGCTCTTTCTTCGCAGGATTTTGACCGTTTCACTCCGTTCTTTCGCCATTTTCCCACTATATAGCTCAGCTACCATTTTGGGCCGAGTACCAAACTATCGTGTCAACTGCCTTTGATTGAATAGTGCTAAAGGAGCATTTCAATTCACCAAGTGACAGCGATTTTTGTCTTTGGGTCTTTTCATTTGGAAATCAAAAAAAACAGCCTAGCATCAGAGAAGAATTCCTGGCTCACCTAGGGGTTACTATTTAAAAAAGCCCAAAAAAGCTAAGTTAGGAATATTTCTAATACGGTAGGAATATTTCTCTTTGCGAACTTGTGAATGCGTAACCCTATTTTCCTTATTGTTTCTATGACTGACTGTTGCATCTATAAGGGACGAGAATACATGTTTCTTCCTGATTAGATGTTCAGACCACAGTCAAGATATTTACAGATTTATTTGACTGACGTTTCGGCGTAGTCGCCTTCGTCGGAGCCTTAGGAGAGCACGGCTAGCTCGACTTCCGACAGCCGCTGAGTTCAGCGGTGGTCTGAATACATACTTGATTCTCTGCAGGAATACGCGATGAAGACCGAAATGGTTGAAGGCGACAAACTCAAACTCCGCTTGAAAATAGAAGTCCTCGTGTTAGCGCAATGCCACGAAGTATCTGATCCCGAGAAGAAAAGTCACTTTGTCGAGTTCGTTGATCGCGGGAAAACCGATAAATTCAAGGTCAGCTCTACAGTAGTTTTCTCCGCAGGCGCTGGAGCGTACCAAGAGAGAGAGAGAGAGGGAGAGAGAGAGAGGGAGAGAGAGAGAGG